GACGAACCTTTTTGTGTTTCCAGGAGATTCTGTTTCAAGGGTTTTCGATTATCTGGGAAAACAGTCGAGCTTGTCTCATGGAGGTTGATTTTGAAGAGTTTTTTTTTCTCTTCAAAAGTTTTTTCAGTTTTTGGGGTTTATCCATTTATCTCCTGCGTATAACAAATTATCGGCACGGCGAAATCTCGACACACGCGCTCCACGCGCCGGTGTTATGATGCGAATTTTTTAAAGAAGAAGTAGATGGGCTTTACGTTTTAAACTAAGGCCCAGTGTTGATGGATCTTGTGAAATTGAGAGATCAAAGCCTCTTGATGGTCTATCAAACTGACACTTGCAAGAACAAAACGAGATGTCTTTCTTTTCTTTTTTTTTGGAACAACAACGAGATGTCTTTTTTTTTTTGGTAATGATGTCTTAGAGTACCCTCAATATTTAGAAAGCTTTTTTAAATGGTTAAATCTGTAGATATTTCTCATTCACAAGAGAAATCCAGATGGATTTCATCATTTAAAATTTTACAATCCAAGAACTCTTATTAAAATGAAGGCATAATACACAAAAAAAAAACTTCAAGAATGATTATAGGAAATTCGTATGTTAACAAATGTTAGTTTGAAAAATAGTTTTTAGAAATAACAATTGTGATTATATCCGATTATTTATATGTATAAGCGGAGAAAGCTCAAAATTTGTCTTCTCGTCAAAAAATATTCCCGGGAAAACAAAAGCAATTAGCATATGTTGAATAACCTATTTTATTCAACATATTCTATTAGCCAAAAGCAAGTAATCACAAAAGCAATTAACTTATGTTGAATAACCTATTTTATTCAACATATTCTATTGCAGTCAAAAGCAATTAATCAATGGCCATATTATGATCACATCATCGCCTTCATATAATTTACTGTGACTAATTACAATGATATCGTAAAATACGTAAGTATTTGTTATAAAAAAAATATACGTAAGTATTATATGATTTGCACTGAGCGTGTGTCACAAATAAAAAAAATATATATTATTTTGGAGCCAACGTGAGTGGTAATTGGCTAAAGTGCCAATGTGGTCAGTACCAAAATTAAATTGGGTCTGACCAGACACATCATAGACATTACGGTATCTATCACAGGCCTATTCTTTTAACCTAATCTCCTATATTAATTAATACTCCACTGCTTAATTTAATTTAATTTAATTTCCACAAAACGACGATTGTATTTATTTCTAGGGACCAAATAGTATATAAAAACAACGAAAAAAATAGTGTCTGAATTAGTGCAGACGTAGACCACGTAAGACTATGCCACAAAGGTCTGACTAGGCACAAGTTTCGGTGACCCGCACGCGCCTAACGTCACGTTTTCAACTATTCGTGCAACCATTTTCTCTATGCGGCATCGTTTTATCAATCCCTCTTCCTCTCTTTTTTCTTCTCTTTTTTTCAAAAAAACAACCTTTTTTTTTTTTTTAGAATTGCCATAGAAATTGTAAAAAAGCTATTTTTTACGTGCACAATTATAAAAATATCTCATATTTGTAAAAATGTCATTAATTATAGATTTCAAACCTTATATCTTAAAATTCTAAACACTAAAAAATGTTTTGATCCCTAAACTTCCCCTAAATCCTC